AACACTTGTCTTTTTAAGTCTGGTTCATTTTGCCTAATGTATCTTCTAGTCCCATCCATTTTCCTGCAAATGACACAAAAATGATCTTTTTAAATATTTTATTATTTTTATTTTATGTGTATGCATGTATTGCCTGCATGTAGGTAAGTGCACCTGTGTCGTGCAATGCCCGTGAAGGTCAGAAGAGGCTGTTGGATCCCCTGGAACTGGAGTTATGGACAGTTGTTACAGACACGTAGGTGCTGGGATTCGAACCTAGGTCTTCTGCAAGAACTGCCAGTGTTCTTAACCTCTGAGCCATCTTTCCAGCCCAGAAAAATGATCTTATAAACAACACTGCAACAGTCTCTCAATTCTCAGATTATCATAACTTTTCTTAATTCTTGTTGGGCCTATTAAATTTGGCATTGCTTTAGAGGCATAGAGAATATACTAAACAGTTCCAGAGCAGTACAGGCATACAACACACACACACACACACACACACACACACACACACACACAAAACAAAACAAAACCAAAAACAAAAAACCCCAAAACACAAGACACATCCACAGACACAGATACATAGCACACCATACTCATATGCACACATACAACTAGACTCATACCACACAAACCACATATCAACATGCATACCACAGACACACACACCACAAACACACGTGCAGACATACCCACAAACACACCCATAACCACTCTCAGCCCCCAGACACACACACCACACACAGAGATACACACCACACATACATATCACACACACATACATCACACACACATAAACCACACACAACCAGACTCACCACAGAAACCACACACACACACCCCACAGATACATACATACTATAAATACACATACAGACACACCCACAAACACACAAAACCCACAACCACACCCACCCCCGACACACACACACACACTACACAGATACACACTACACATATACATATATGAAACACACATAAGATACACCATATACACACACACCACACACACACATACACCACACACACAGACATATACTACAGAGACACACACATGGTGTGTGTATATGGTCTACACCATAGACATACCATACACACCCACACACATGACACACACACTATACACATACACACATGCTCACATTCAAAGAAATACACATACGTTTTCATCGTTCTCTCCATAGGTCTCTTCAGCATTATGCTCCAGCTCTCTTCTCTTCTCCTCCGTCAAATCTTCTTGAACCTAAAGGAGACCACAATACTAGGTGATGCTGTCTCCACTTAAAGTAAATACTTGAAAAAAGCCTGGTCCAATTTCTAAAAAGTTCATTCCAAACAGCAGCCCCAGCTTCAGAATAGGGAGTCCATCACTAGCAATGGGCTTTCACTTTGCAAGCCTATGATGTCTAGAAGGGTCAATGTCCCCGTTATGAGGTAACTCCTTTGAACCTCCTTTTATAAAGGGGGCTGGAGAGATGGCTCAGCAGTTAAGAACACTGACTATTCTTGCAGAAGACCCGGGTTCGAATCTCAGCACCCACATGGCAGCTAACAATCGTCCGTAACTCCAGTTCCAGGGGATCCAACAGCCTCTTCTGTCCTCTGTGGGTGTTGCACCACAGGGGTGCACTTACTTACATGAAGGCATAACACTCATACACATAAAATAAAAAATAATAAATATTTTAAAAAGTGTGAAGACACTTCTATAGTAGGTTTTGATATGATTTTTCTAAAGGTCTTCAGTGTTAGTTTTCCCTCCCATGCCCCACTCCAATGAACTCTTTGAAGTGCACTATTTCCCTTTCCCCTTCATATCACTGCACTTTCTCTCCCCTCCCATGAATTCTCAGCCCCTCCTGGATTTCCTGATCCCTCTGGATTTTCCAACTGACACATGTGCATTCAATATATGAATTCAAAGTTGGCATCCAGGTTCCACAGAACATATATAACGTTTGTCTTTCTGGGTCTAGGTTATCTCACTCAGGATGAAGCTGTTGATTAGGGTTACGACAGACCCTCCAACAATACTAGCCATCGCCCCTATTCATGGTTACCCACCCGAACTTGATGGTAAGACACTACTGTTTAAGACACTATATACATGAGCCATAGGGAAAAACAAGGAGAAATCAAGCTGGTACTGACTTGGAGGCTTCATCTCTACTGGCTAGCTTTTGTAATACTGGGAGGGGCTAGACGTGCTACTGGAAGAAAAACTGAATCAATAACCTCACCCAGCTGTGAACAACTGACCTGGCAAGATGTGACCTCTGGTACAATAGTAGCATGAATATTACTATTGGAGTGATTGGAGTAACCAATCACTTTCTAATTGGATTCAAGGTCTACTTCATAGGATGGAGCCCATACCAGACATTGATATCAGGCCTAGGAACCTTAGGCTAGACACATCACAGGACACAGAGGAGAGTCTAATACTATTATTCTGCTAAAGCAACTCCTAATGGCTTATTGTTATACCCAGATTAATGCATCTTTCAACTCTCACCAGAGAAGCTTCCTTATGCATCAGATGGTGATTAACACAGAAACCCACAACTGGTCAACATACGGAGAATAAGAGGTTTCAGAGTGCTTGTCCCTGAATTGAACACCTGTATCAAGCTTCTGCCTCCAAAGGCTCAGCAATCATTATGGAAGAGGTGGCAGAAAGATGGAAGGAGGCAGAGGTAGTGGATGACAACAAGCAAACAGTATCCCTGACAGCTGGGAAGTTACTCATATGAACTCACAGCAGTGGTGACAGCTTGAACAAGTACCACATAGGCTCAAGCCAGACAAAATCCCAGCATAGATGTGGGGAAGTAGGTAAGAAACACCAACCCTATCTGAGGAACTACTGGCAACTGATGTCAGGGTATAGTAAGGGATGGATGCAGGGATGCAGATAGGAGTAGGGCTCTAAATGCAATTAAAATATATGAAATATCTAAAATCTGAATTAAGAAAAGGAAAAAAACCCAGCAAATAAAATAACAGCCACAAAAAGGAACTAAAGTTAAAGTTGAAAATGAAAAAAGTCGTTTCACTTGCCTACTAGGTGTGAAGAAATGTATAATATGCCCCAAGGCACTGTTGGCAATGAATGGTCACTGGGGCAGGCTGTCATTTTCTTTAGTGGTGTAGCCATTGATAAGCTGCCCTTGCTCTAGCAAATGACCTCCTACCTTTGCTTGGGGAGGACATTCTACTAAAGCCAGTGGGTTACACATAAAACAGGACATGGAAGTTGGAGGAGACTTGCTGAGAAGGGTTCCAGCAGGAGATGGAGAGCATGAGACAGAAGAATGGCGTGGGTGGTGAAAATGACTAAAATTTGTTATACAAATGTATGAAACTGTGAAAAAGTACAAAGAAATCTAAAAATCAATGCTATTTTCAAGGATGTTTAAATTTGACTTTCTGATTCACTTAGATAAGGAATAACTCAGCAAAATAAGCAGAGAAGGAAATTCTTATAAGTAAAAACTGTAGAAATCTAGAAGTCTGACAGAATAAAAGTTCTATGATAATGAGACCTGCTTGTCTTACTGTCATCAATAACTAGATATATTCCAGGCAAGTTGCAATCATTTAATAAACAATGCTGAGTGATGAGGTCACTGAATGAATGAATAAATGCAAAACTCCCATCTGTCTAGGTACAAAAGATAGTGCTGTCTATATAAAATAAGGTCAAAAGCTGATATGTCTATTCTATAACTAATAAAACATTTATTTAGCTAAAGTGCCTAGAAAATACAACACAATCATTTGAATTTCTTCATGAAATGTTCCAGGAAAGTCTTTCAAAATCCATTGCTTATGTTCTAACACATTTCTGTTTGAAATAATTTTCTTTTGTGTACACTGTTATCATTGTTTCATTGATCTCAAAATGTAAATCAGAGAAAACAGCAGAATACATTCACTAAATAACCTCTAATGATCACATTGCATAGAAATATATATAAAACATTTTCTAACTTGTTACTTTTCTGAAACTATATACATGCCAAAAGAGGTAAGTCATTTGAATATATTGCACAAAGTTCAGATAATATTTTGATGTGAAGGACTGTTCTGATACCAAACCAGTACCTTCTAGAATCATGGAAGAATATTGTCTTCTTTCATAACACAAAATAGTTAATGATTTCTAGGAAGAAAAGCTTGAAGAGCTGATTTGGCAAATGTGTACAATGGGTGAGGGATAGAAAGGGTGTAGGTGCTATGATCAGGAGAAGCAGACCAAGTACTGCCTCAAAGCATTCAGCCAAGAGAGGGAAACAAGAAACAAGTTCAACCTCCTGATGAGCTGTGAATAAATGTTGGCCTTCCCATAGCCTACAAAGATGACTATTCCAAGATGCCCCAGCCAGAGGGAAGCCTTGAAGAGTCTCTCATCACTCTACCACCTGCTGGACCCAGAGCCACTAAACAACTTTACTTTCAAACAGTTAGGTCAGAGACAAACAACATCCTTTAAATCCACAGTTCCTGGTGTAGTGAGCTGTCTCATATCATTGCTCTGTCAATGGTCCATGACATCTCTTCTGCCATTAGTTATACAACCTCACAGCAACATTCCACAGGACCCTGGGATGAAAACAGGGAAGCACTGTCTGACTACATTAAGGGCAGATTAACTGAAGCATTAAATCGCTGAAGTGTCCTTGTCAATTTTGATGAACAAAGGACAAGTTTTCTATACCCTTAATAATGAAAACATTACTTGTCAACACTAAACATGAGTTAGTTGAGAATAGAAATGGATTGATTTGAAACTGCAGTATGGTGAGAAAAATACCTAAAACACGGGCTGTAAACCTTTTGTGTTAAAGAGGGAAAAGTAATAACTTAAGCTTCCTCAACCATCTCGTCTCCGTTACCCAACGTGACTCTACTAAGTTAGCGCAGAACAGCTGTAGACAGTATGTAGACAAGTAGGACTGGCTGTATTCCAATAAAACTTTATCGACCAAACAGGCTATGCCTGTTCCAGTTTGGCAACTCCTAAACATACTGTGGAGTCAGATAGATCTGAAACAAAACCTTGGCTCTGAACATTTCTCTGTATATAAACAGTGAGGTCAATTTTTTTGTTTTGTTTTGGTTTCAGAAAGGGCTTAGCTGCAAAATCACTAGCCTCAGGAGTCCTGTCATTACAGATCCGCTTCATTACCACACGGGGAATTTAGCTGTTTTTGTTATGAAAATCTCCAAGCACATGTCAATAACAAGAATTACACACTAAACCTCTTGTAGCCATTTATCTCAACATGGCCAAAATTGCATCATCTATGACGTATTGCATTTTCTCTGAATGTGTGTTTTTATATATATATATATATATATATATGGGATCAGAAGTCAATGTCAGATATGTTCCTTCACTAATTTGGCTAGGCTAGCTACCAGTGAGCCCCAGCCTCTGCTTCTCCAATGCTGGCTTAAATTAAAATGTTGAGTAAAAATCAACGATCTTTGGTTTTCTGTGGCAGAGGAAGGAGGTTGAGAGTTTTGGATTCTTTTAAGCTGTGGTATAAAATGTTTAGCAAATAGGTGTAGGCACTCACATAGATTCAGGAGGTCACAGTTCCCAAAGTCCATCTATAACTGCCTTTCCTAGGACTATTTATATCAAGAGACTCTTCTAGAAATGTTGAGATCAGCTGGTGGTGGGAAGGTCGGTCTTTTGAAGGGCTCTGATTTTGAGGTCTTCCAGGGGGCGGTTTGGCCCAGGAATTTATAGTTTTCATGATTTTCTAAAGGTAATTCTTGGTCATAGCCAAGGTAGATGTCAGTTCCTTGAGCACAATGGATGCTGGTTAAGAATGTCTGGCTGGGGGATAATGACCCTTCCAACATTTTTTCCTCCTACTCATTGGATATACTGTAGGAATTTTACCTTGTTTCCCAGTTACATTATAGTTGGGAATTCTGATTTAAATTTTTCTTTGATGTAGGGAATCCACAAATGATATTCTGTAATATTCTAGCCATACAGACAATAGAATCATATATATATAATTTTATTAAAATGCTCATCATATTTGAAGCAAAAGTAATTATAACTCAACTATATCACTAAAAAGGAATGAATGATACTGTGTTTCTACCTGATCTTCATAACACACTTAGACTAAAAGTCTCAGGCCAGTTGTTTGCCCCTTATCACTTTTGACTTCCACCCTGACTGCCTGTCCTGTGCTGCCATATGAAGTAACACTTTACCCATGGGAGAAATTATGGGCTGAGCTTTGAACTTGTAGGCTGTACCTTAAGCAGTTGATATTGTTAGGATCTAGAGCTGGGTAGCATGTGACAGTCAAAGGCCTTCAGGAACATTAGCTATGACAGATCTGCAAGACTTAACAGAAGTTCTGCCCATAGAAAATCCTCCCTCCCTCCTTGCCCCCTCCCGTCCTCTCTCTCACAACTCCTTTCTTTCTTTAGATAGGGTCTCATTTTACATTATATGGAATATATGTTAAAATTAGTGGACCAACATTGATACAGTTAAATAAATTCCATTCTTTATAAAAAAAAATACAAACTTTTTAGTAATGCAGTAATAGGTCAGTAGGTCTCTTTTCTTAAAAGTATATAAAATATCTGGAATGTAACCAATATGAGAGGCACTTCAGTAAAAGTGCCTTTCACTCTGAAAATAGCAAACAGACAGAGTGGTGATCAAGAATGGCCATTGCTATGTCTTAGAAAGATGGCACAGGGCTGTTAAGATAAAAGAAAGCAACAAAGGGCTATGGAGCTGGCTTGGTCAGTGGAGTGCTTGCTATGCAATCAAGACAACCTGGATTCAACCCCCAGAAGCCACATAGAAAGCAACACTCAGTTCAGCCCCGGTCATCTGTTTTATTCTGTTTTAACCAGTTAGCAAATTTTGCCCAATCCTGTAGAATTTTTTTTTTCTGGATTAACTAAAACATTAGTTTTCAGGGATAAAAATAAGTGATGGTGGTGTGCACTTGTAATCTGAGTACTGGTGAGGCTAAAACAGGCAGATCCCCAAAGCTGTTTAGCCTTATAGAGTTCTAGGCCACATGAGAAAGAAAAAAAGAAAAGAAAGAAACAGGGTGGATATCTCCTGAGACATGATCTCCAAGGTTGACCTCTGACCATCATAGTTATAGGCATGCCTGTGGTTGAGCATAACCCCCTAACATGCATACATAGGAAACCACCCCCACTAACCTCACAAAGAAGGCAGCAAGGGTGGAGATGTCCTATAACCAGCCTTGGGCTTGGCCTGTCTGCCCCCAAATCCAAGTCAGTAAATCTGATGGCTGAACCTTTGACAGTGTAGTCTCACAGGATACAATTCCTCTTATGCTGGGGCTGGAAAGATGGCTCAGCAGTTAAGAGCACTGGCTGTTCTTACAGAAGACCTGGGTTTGAATCCCATCACCCCCATAGCAGCTAACGACCATACGTAACTCCAGTTCCAAGTGGATCTGATGCCCTCTTCTGATGTCCACAGGCATTGCATGACATGGATACATACATACATACACATACACACACACACACACACACACACTCACACACATATAGGCATAACACTCATACACATAAAATAAAAACAAGTAAATCAAAAATAAATAAACAAACAATTCCTCTCAAGGAGGAAATTGTTGTAACATGTTTGAGTGTTTCCTGGGAAGGAGGGGACCCGAAGGGCTATTAGAGACCCTCAGTTCAGCATTACAGTCAAGCTGAGAAGAGAGGAGGAAGATGAAACTGCTGGAATTTCACTGTTTTTATGTGCCCATGAATGTTGCCTTACACACATGCACACCTCACACAGTGCAGTCTGAGTTTCCCTTTGCTTTGCTTAGCCCTTGGGTTGCTGAGCACCTTGTCTCTGCCTGTCACTAGTGCTTGAATGAAATGTGGCATTTACTGTTCTCCCCACTGTATGGAAAGGCCTGGAAACACTGGAATGAGGCAAGATGCAAAAATTCATCATTTCAGGAAATACTAGGAAAACGCGACACAGCCTGCAGGCTCAGGGATGCTGAGTGAACAGGGAGGCAGTAAACAGTAGAAAGAAGATAAAGCTTTCACAGTTTGCAGGGCAGTATCCAAAGTGATCAGAGTGATAACTGAGAGCCTAGGTGAGAGGTCAGAAAGTACAGAGACACTTCTAAGACTTCTAGGCAAGGCCCAGGGCTGCACTCAACAAGACATAGCCACCAGTTCAGCAGACGCAGAGGAGACTTCTACCACTGGATTGAGGGGAACAGCTCAGACCTCTGCCTCTCTAACCCCTCTTGGTCCCTGTCTTTCGTGTCTCTCTGTACTTCATCCTTACATCTCAGGATTTCTTTTCTTCACCCTAACTGTTCATACTACAGAACTGAGAAGGAATCCATAAACACTGATTAAACTTTTATGTTTACTCTTCTGAATTTTTAAAGGGAAGTCAAGGTGAACCCTTTCTTTCTAAATCCCTCAGATTCCTGGTATCTGACACAATAAAACAAAAGAAAATTGGTCTAGACAAGAGAAGCTCCGATGAATATCTTTCTTCTGCAAATGACTTACTAGTCAAGGTTTCTCTAGTGCTCTGTCTGAAACGAGAGCTCTGGGTATTGATGAAGATGGACAGTAGGATGGGAAAGTAGTGAATACAAACATCAAACCTGTTAGAGAGAACAGGACTCGAGATGTAGCCAGTGGTCAGAAAGGGCAGCGCCCTTTTCTCTTTTCCTGTCATAAGTACGGATTTTAGCATTAGCTCTGCAGAGCTGACAGAAGCAGTAGGAACAAGTCTGCCGACTCACGAGAGAGCTAAGGTGCCAGTGGGGAGGGCAAACCCTCTGAGCTTGCACTTGTGGTAGGACTTGTCTACTGGGGGCCATGTGTCCACACTCCCGTGTTCTGTTTCCTCTCAAGGCCAAAGCCATGTGTTTGTAAGATAAAGATACCTGGTTGTGAAGTGGCTTTCATGTGGGAACCAGTGACTAGTCTACAGAGAAACTGAATGGGGTCTTGACTTCATATACACTATCATTCCACAGGCAGGAGTGAACACAGGAGAGAGCAGTGACAGACAGGCTCCCCCACACTACACTTACCAGCTGATGCACCAAAAGAATGGGATAATGTCATAAGTTCTCTACCGGCCCCATTAGTGATAACATGTCAAATGTTTACAAAGGAAAGCAAACTAAAGTAAGACAGGAAGAAATTCCATCTATGGGGCTGAAGAGAAAGCTCAGCATTTAAGAGCACCAGCTGCTCTTGCAGAGGACTTGAGTTTAGTTCCCAGCACCCATGTGGCTACTAACAACACCTGAAACTTCAGTTTGGGGGCATCTGATGCCCTCTTCTGGCCTCCGTGAGCACCTACACACATGTGGTGCACATAAACTCAAGCCATACACATCTACACATAATCTTAAATCTATCACTCCTGAAAACCCAAATATATTCTTGATTCCATAGTTTTGATAAATTAAAATTACTCAGGGTTTGTTATCTTCTAAGTATTATAGCTACTACAATCCATCCTCTGAGCTCTGCTTTCTTATCCTACTTAAGCCTTCCTGAGCATCTCTACAGAATGTCCAAGTCAACAGAGGTAAGGTCTGGTTGAGGATAGATCGTGCCGAACATCTGACCAATCCCCTGCATCTAGTCTGTTACCTCCTCTTCTCCCTCTTCTTGGTACTGCTCATCAACATTATCTTCCTGCTGGTCTGGATTTCCTGCCATCTGTTGAAACAAAAGGAGAGGCTCAGGCGACTGTTCATGGGAAAAGCTCTGCACAGTATGCTGGGTCATAGATGGAGCACAGCATCCCGTATGAGGAGTGCAGTTGCAATGCATCAGATGCCTGAAAATGATGAATAATCGTTGCTCACATGAAGTTCAGAACGTGCATTACCCTCATTCTATGAGGGCAAGCAACCCTTTCACACAATGGACCCCCAATCACAAAGGTGGTAAACCTCTCAATGTCCACAAACAAAGCCTTTTCCATGAACCAGGCATTTACTAAGGCGGTTGGGTTAGGCCCGGTCTAACTGGGCATCTCTTACCACCAGGCGCTCCTCCACTTCTGCCTTCTCTTGATTTTGATCACTCTGCCTTTGTTCTTCATTTTCATCAGGCAAATTTTCTTCTCTCACTTGCTCAGCCTCCTCAAATTCATCTTCACCTTGATTGTTGGGGTCATCTGCTGGGTTTATGTCCTCCACAGCTGCCCTCTGGAAAATGTTTATAAAAAGCATTCAGTGCCTCAAAACTGAGATGTTTAATTTAATTCAAAAACTCACACTCTGGCAGAAAACAAAGCTGTCCCTGACTGAACTTTCCAGATCAATTCTTGCCAAGACTCACAGAGTATTAAATACCCCAGCATCAAAAGATGAAACTCTGGCTTTGTCAGAAGCTGGGGAATTGGATTGATTGAGCAAGTACAAATAGCACTTCCTTTGCACAAGTCATTCAACAGTCCTCAGAGTTCCAGTAGGAAGGAATGTAAGCATCACTAAATAGCCAACCAGAAGCAGCACTATGAAAGGCTCAAGTGCGAGAAAAAGATCAGGATGGGGGACTTAGGTGAACCAATTCCTTTCACTGCTCTGGTGACTTTCACACAAACTTCCCTTTGTAAGGAGTGTGTGTGTGTGTGTGTGTGTGTGTGTGTGTGTGTGTGTGTGTGATGTGTATGGAGGTGCCTGTGCATGTGTGTGTGCAGGTACACATGCACATATATGTGAATGTACACACGTGTGGAAGGTAGAGGTCAGCCTCCGGTGTCATTCCTGAAGAGCTGACCACCTTGTTTTTTGAGACAGGATCTCTTACTCAGGCCTGAGATTCACCCATTAGGCTAGCTGGCTTGCTGTCGAAGCCCAGGATTACAAGCATGTACCACCACACCCAACTTTCTATGCAGGTAGTAGGGATTGAACTCAAGTCCCCATGCTTGTGTGGCAAGCATTTTACTGACTGAGGTACCTCTTGGCCACTACAGAGAATTTTAGCATGTAAGTAGGTAAAAAGTACTTGATGGGAGAAAACCCACACTGGAAAGGACCAAAGAGAAGCAGGGCAAGGAAATCACTAAACCCACTGTGAACGGTCTATAGCATGGGCCAAATTTCTTTATCAACTAGCTCAACTGTGCATTTGTAAGGGATGGGGAAAAAAACCTGGAAAAAATCAAAGATCCCCACAGAAATTCTCAGTTATTGCACCTTTCATACACTGTCTTTCACAGATGCCTTTCAGATGATTGACTTTACAGTTATTTCCACTATCCATTTAATCCATTTATGCTCCCACTCACATATTGAATAAGACTCATCCTCATAAGGCTCTGGAGATAAGAAGAAATGGAAACACTTGTTAGGGGTTTCCCCAATCCCATGGTCATCCATGGGACACTCACTTGAGTGGCAATCACTCTCTTCGAGATTCTGAAGCTACAGAATAGGATTCAGTCTCAGCATTCTGAAGACAAGGGGATTCAACTGCAATTCACTTGAGCTCCTTGACCATGCTCAAGAGTTCCCTGCAGTATCAGGCTCATCTATTGCTGTGCTGCTCTGGCCAGACGCTTCAAGTACAAATGACACTACCCTCAATACAAGTGACAAGTCATCACTTCACACCCAATTCTAATTATTCTACAATCTCTTGCCATATAAACTTTCTTATGTACATTATCAATCATTTGTGTGTGGATATAGAACAAAGGTGTAACCCATTCCTTATAGAAAAACACTAAATATGTTTTATAAAATTGCACACATTAGCCCTGATTCCAACCAAGCAACAAGTAGGGGGGTCACCAGAGAGCTTTTTGTTATATCAATAAAACAGTTTGTACAGAGTGGGTCAAGCAGGGGCTCACAATTTCTAATAAAAAGAAGACAAGATAGAAAAACCATTCTTTCCTAGTGTGCTCACTAGAATGAGCAGAAAGACAGCAGGAGAATAAAGGATGCTATAGGCCAGGGATTAGACCCTATAGCAGATCCCAAACCTAAGTGGCTGTCTTGACCCTTCCCCACTGGCCGCTTTTATCTCCTCCTAAGCACTGGCAGGCATTTGCATTCTGGCTTTCCTGTTCTCTTAGAATATTTTCTCACTCCCTCCTGCATTCCTGATTCATCTTTCATAGAAACAATTGAGAGCTAGGTTCCAAGCTGAGCATTTTCCTAAAAACCAATGTAGAGGTGGGCAGGAGGTGCTGTGCCATCTCACCACAGGTTACGTGGAAGCCATCTGCATCAAGGGGCTACAAGTGGCCAGAAGAAAGTCTTTCATACTAATAACCAGGAAGGATGGGCTCTTCCTTCTAATATACTTAATCAGTCTAAGCAGAACTCATGGAACATCTAGACTGAATCTCTCAAACACAGGAATTGATGTATTAGCAGTATATGATAGGGGAACCAAAGCGAACTGTAAACATCATCTAAAACACAAGATTGAACTCATTCCACATTTGTTTGTATTGTTCCTAAGCAGGGCTAAGGCCTAAGTTTCCAGCTAAAAGGCCAGAGGCCCGTTTTTATTCAACACAGAGAGTAACCAGATAGCTACACAACTGCATTCTGAATAATGTGCATCATCTTAGTACATGACCACCTTGTTTTACATTTGAAACTACATATTCTTAGTCACATAGCTATTAAGATGGTCACCAGGATGTTGGGTGAGGAGAGTCACATCAGGCATCTGAAGCCCCAACAGACCACTCAGCATGCTCAGCAAACAAGAATCTCCTTTCTCTGGGCCCCTCTCCAACCTCTACCTGGCTTTCCCCTTCCTCTCCAGATGATGCTATACAGCAGTCCCTTCTGCATGAAATAACTGCCATCAGCACGACTTCAGCTGAGCCTGATCACTAAACATCATCACGATTGAGCTTCCTGACGGTTGAGATCATTCATTAAAGGAGGGCCAAGCAGTGTCACTGGACCCTTACTGGAGTATCCAGCCACTCTTCCCAGCCAGCTGTATGTAATTTGACCCTAACCACACATGGCCTCCTGGATTTGGGGAGGGCTAAAGTATACAGTCTGTGGAAGGCTAGGAAGAGAAGGCATGACCCATGCTGGGTAAAGGCTTTCCAGTGTACATACCCTCAGGTCACACATACACCTCAGCAACCCCTCAGTTATTTCGGTAGGTATGCTCAGTGAATTCATTGGTTCCCCAGTAAAACGTTAATCAAACATTGGCTTGACTCTAGAACCTTAAAAGGTAATAAGCATTGCTTAGCATCCCCAGGAAAAGAAGTTTCATGACCAATAAAAAATTTATTTTTTAATACTATTATGTCTCAATTATTTTTAAAAAAGGAAAATGAGAATGTAAGAGATGTTAAAAGGATACAGGAATGGAGATATTTTCCAAAATAGAAAACATGAGAACGCCTAAGCAAGCGATGAAGGTCTGTGTAGGTTTGTTATATATAAAGGATGAGACGAAAATAATATACACGTAATCTTAAAATTTCTATGGTCATAGTTTAGTCAACTAGTTTAAGGAACAAATTATAAATCTAGTTAATGTTTATCTGAGAATATTTGGTTCTTTACCTAAGCCTTATCTACATAGCACAAGATAACTAAAAGCACCAGACTGGTGGAACTAACCTTATTGGATGTTTAACAGCCATACTTTAAGGCCTATATTACTGTGGTCAGAGGGACTTAAAGGACAGTTTTTGCTCCTTGCCCTCCAAAACTGACCAAGTTCCAGGGGACTATGGAACATCTCTCAAAATGTTCTGTAACTGTGGTGAGTCACCTGTCCTCTTGTTCAGGGAGGACATGGAGACCCCACGAGATGGACCTGAACCAGTGTCCAGTCTACAAAGAGGAGGGTCAACTCAGAGGAAACATCTCATTCATGCTTCCAAGTGAAGCCAGACATGGTCGAACAGGCCCTTTGATTTACCTTCACGTAGATGGAACTGGTAAAAGAAAGGAGCCAGGGGCTCCTCCCAAGCCCATGTGACCCCTAAGGACCAGATTCTCAAATGACTTTAAGTGTAAAAATAAATTGATTTGGGCCAATTTTATGGTCTTAAACACCCAAAGGAAAGTATAACCAAAGAGTAAATTCATCAGTATACTTTTTTAGGAGTTCAAGGGATTACACTTCTCAGACATTAGGCTTAAGTCTATATAAAAAGTTATTTAGCCAGGCAATTCTAGCCACTCCAACAGCTATCAATACCTGAAAGCAAATCCTGAATCCATCACTCTAGAGTCCAGCCTTGGAAGACAAAAGAAAAATGAGGAAGAACCCAATAGAAGGATGCTTTTGGAAACCCTTGTCAGAAATTCCAATGGACTCTCTTATGAACGTTTGAAAATTGCTATGTTCTGAAATTTTTCTAGTTCCCTGTCTAGAACTTGTAATGCTAATTATTCTTGCCTTTACTTCTCCACATCTCCTATTCACGATTCAAGGACTTTCTTTTCCCCTTAGAGACAAGAGTTATGCCATTTGGGAATCTTTTAGATAGACCCACTGAAGGGGCACAAAAATTGCCTCACCCTGCATCCCTGTTCAGCATGGAAGAAGCCAGTGGTCTGTGTCCCAATTCCCTATTGGCAATTTGGGTAACCCCTTCAGAGGATGGCATGATAAGAATAGGAGGTAGGAATTGGCTAGGCAGTTATGTTAAAAAGACCCCAAAGAAAAGTAGCCAGTTTCTTGGCTAAAAGCCAAAATGTCCTTGGGACTGTTAGCAACATACTCTGTTCCAAAGGCCAAAAAATTTAAAAGTATATGGGTGCTTGTATCTAATCCTTAAAAGATTTTAGGGTTACCTCTTCAAAGGGGGGAATGTTAAGAGTAGCCAAAAGCCCCATAAAAATAAAGAATAAAAAAAAGAAAAGAAAAATGTGATGGGGAGATATGGGAGGTGTTGGAAGGGAGAGAGTGGGCATGGATTTGATCAAAACACCTTATATGCATGCATGAAATTTTCAATAAAGTTTTTGTAAAAGTTAAAAAAAAGTCATTTTTCAGTGCCTCTTGATGTTGAGTTTAATCAGTCTATAAGGCAATCAAGGAAAAATGGTTTGTTTCCCCAAAGCAACCTCCAGCCCATCTCCTCACACCCCCACCTCACGGTTTGCAGTTAACACTGCTCTTTGCTTCTATGTACTTATGGGAGGCATCCCTCTCATTGATCAGAGAAAACAGATCTGGGGCCAGAGGCTTAAGTCAGACACACTTTCTTCCTCCCTTGTGATTTGCCAAGTGAGATCAGAAGATAGCACTTACATCTGCCTCAGCTTCTGGATCGGCTTCCTGGGGCTCTGGTTCGTGAGGCTCATGTCCATTGCCTGGGTCTCCTTCGGCTTCGTCTTGGTGCCTATTATCTCTTTCATAGGCTAGTAAACCAAAGGAACTATAATCAGCCCCAAATAGATGAAGCAGAATTTGTCCCTTTTCAGTCAAGGAAAGGCCACTAGTGAGCTCTGGAGACTCTCTGCCCCATCTCTCCTCCACCCTGGGTAACTCAACACAAGGGCACAGCTGCGTTTTTCTGAGTAGTTCTGTCCTTTTCTCAGATTTCATGTCAATGCAGTCAGTGAGCAGTGGCTCTACTCTTCCAAGAAAAATATTTATAACAGAGGCTGGATTTTTTTCTGTTGGTCCCAGAAACAATAATCACAACTTTTGTAATAAAAGAATGTCTACAGTTTTTTTATTGTCAGAAGAGAGAGTGGGAATGTCATGGGCGAATGAAGAAAGGCTAACTCCAATTGTGAACTTAGAAGAAGACAGAGCCCATTGCGTGCTCACAGCCATGATAGTGAGAGCACAGCCCATTTGTATTAGCAGAGGAGTAAACTGACTACTCTGGGGGGAAAATGCCAAGATTAAGAGATCTGTAAGAATAAACAAGAAGAGAAATCATTTTTAAAGTAAGTTTTAAGAGGAAATATTAAGTATGAAGAAAGTTATTTAGTCTAGAGAAAATAAAGAAACAGGGTAACTGCCAGAATGCTGACAGCACACAGAGGGACTTGTTAAGGGAGGGAACAAACAGTTCTTTAGTCTTACTGACAACAAACAAAAGAACCTAGAATCACCCACGGGGGGCATAAAGACAACATTTCTTGACTCTTATGGTTATAAAATGCCACAACTGGCTGTGAATGGAGTGTATACCTTTGCCTTCCTTTATACACCTTCTAGAAAAGGAAACACTTCTAGGAATCAGTGATGCTAGGGACACAGTCACCTTCAACTCTATCTCGGCAGGAAGCAGGATCTGATAAACTGCACAGTAGATGCTCTCCATAGATATAAGCAAGATCCGATGCAAGATTTCCAAGGGACGTAGAAAACTCAGAAATTTCCTAAAGCATACCAATCCTGTCATTTGTCAGAAATAACTATTTGGCATGCAAAGGATTAGACCATGGGGGAAATATTGAGGAGAGAATAGTTATCTTGACCAGTTTTCAGTACTGGTGTACACTGTTGGTCAGTATTCAGACCAACTGTGATGACAACAGCAAAAGAGGTCTGATTGGCAGATGCCTCCTATGTTTATTCTGGTAAGCCTCCAGCTTCTGGATGTGAAAGACTATGGGCTCCCTGGTGTGGTACAATATTACCAAGTCATTCAACTGATGTGGTCATCATCTGAGACATCTTACCACCTCCTTCCTCTTCTGGGATTCCCTGGTCCTCAGCTCCCTGAATGGCATCATTCTCCAGGGCATTGTAATGAACTTGCTGCCTGCCAGGGACACACACATACACCTTACAAATTTAGGGATACAGATTAAGGGGCACAGTATGAGGTAGTTCATTTAGCTTTCAAGACAGGAATAAGAATACTCTAAGTCATGAATTGCTTTTGAGATTTAGATACATGATAAAGTGATAAAGATACCAGGTATACTTTAAAAGCCTACCTTGTAAAGGTAAACCGCCATTCCATGATAAAATTATTACAAAGTCTGCCAATCTATGTTGAGACATATTTTTATTTCATTTACTTTATGTGTTTAATGTGTGTGCATGTATGTGAGTGTGGGCACATTCTATTTCATTTATTTTATGTGTGTGTTTAATGTGTGTGCATGTACGTGAGTGTGGGTACTCATATGTCAAAGCACATGTTGTGGTCAGAGGACAACCTTGCATCTTGAACCTTGCCTTCCATCCTTCTTGATACAAGGTCTCTTTTTTGTGGTTCCCCTCTGCACATGCCAAGCTAGCTGGCCTCCAAACTGTGGAGAGTCTCTCATCCCCATCTCTCATCTTGTTGTAAGAGCCCTGGGATTATAGATGCATGCCCCTGTACCTAGCTTTACCTAGGCTCTGGGTATTCAAACTCAGGATCCTCATGCTTAGGTCACATGTGATTCATCAATAAGCCACCTTCCTACTCCCTAATTATCATTTTCAAGCAGAAAAAAAAAATGCTTAAAATTAAGTACCTAGCACTGAATTCCCAGCTATTTTTTCTCCTCTGCCTACGTGAACAGTATCAGCTCGCCCCCTCCCCCTAGGATCATGGATTGCACATGTTCACAGCTGTTTTTACTCTGTGTATGACACAGAGGAAGGACTGCCCAGGCCCACCAGGGGAAGGGGCAGGTTACCGTAGCTGCTCTTCTCGCTGCTGCTGGTCTTCCTCATGCCCCGCCTGTCTCTTCTGGGCCATCTCTCTATCCAGAAGCTGCTGCTGCTGCTGCTGTCGTAACAAGTGTCCCTGTAGCCTCTCTTGGTGCAAGGCTTCCTGGTGCTCTCGCAGTCGCTGGGCTTCCTCATCCCTCCTCGCCGCCAGCCTCTGCTGTTCCAGCTGCTCCTCATATGGGGATCGGAGTTTCATAAGTGGTTTGTTTGAACGGTCCACCTGGAGCAAAAACGAGTTGGTGCTGAGACAGACGGGTAAGCCCTCGGGCATTCCCTTCACTTACTTGTCAGGACAAACTCAGGAGACGGAGTCAGCTTCTCAACACCTGTTTGTGGCTGAACTGCGATTTACTAAACATGAAGTCCAGGAACTCCTAAGATGCAGCTTTCTCTGAATGACCCTGGGCTTCTTTTAACAATGGATCTTCTCGATCTGGGGCAGGTAGGCAGGGTTTTTTTTTTTTTTTGCTGTTTTCCAGCTCAAATGGAAAGCAGACATAACACCAGAAATCTGTTTCCTCCCTTAATTAAATTTATGTCCAGAGGCTCTAAAGCAAGCTGGCACTTGGTGACCCCACACTAACTGCACAATTTATGAGGCTAAGGCTTTGTCCATAGACAGTTAAAGACCTAAAGACATTAACTCCAGCTATGTATCTACGTGTCAGGCTAAAAAAACATCAACTCTCCCATAATACTGGGGAAGCAGAAGAGGAGACTGTGTGTGTGTGTGTGTCTGTATGTATGTATATATGTCTCTGTGTGTGTCTGCCTGTATACGTGTGTGCATTTGTATATGTCTCTGTGTCTGCATGTATGTTTTTGTGTCTGTGTGTACATGTTTATATGTGCTACATGTTTGTATGGGCACAGGTGCAGCTGGGTGGAGGCCAGAGAATAACCTCAGCTGCCACCTTTTGTGTTTTCTGTTGTGTTTTGTTTTTTTGAGACAGGGTCTCTCACTGGCCTGGAGCTTGCGGAGTTAAGGCTAGGTCTGCGAGCCCAAGGACTGGCTTGTCTCTGACACTCTGGCATTGGGATTAGAAGCACATGCCATCAGGTACCATGTTTTAACTATGTTTTGGTGTCCTCATGCTTGCAAGATGAGTACTTTATGGACTGAGCTATCCCCTTAGCCCCAGAGGAAAGATCACCTCTGATTACAGGAAAGTCAAACCCTGCAGTCCTGAAACAACGCTACTCACTCTTCCCTTTCACTCTTGATTAACAAACACAGCCTCAGTTTTCAGCAAAGGGAAGAGGACAGAGCATTAGGCCAGTGGGAAGATTTCTCCTCATGGTGCTGAAGGCCCAAACTGGCAGAGGCCTTGGGAAACGAAGCTTGCAAGCATGTGAGGGAACGTGAGAGGCCTTCATACTTACCCAGGCTGAAGCTTCATGTGCTTCAAGTCTCAAAGAGAAAGGAAGTCAAACAAAGCTTCTGACTTACAAAGACATCATCAGCTGGTGCTGCATCGCTGGGTATAAGTTTGGAGACAGTAAAAGAAGTTCCTTGGCTACGCTCTAGTGTTGTCAGTAACCTTTAAAGACTAATTACAATGCAGGCTTGTTTCTTTTTTTAAGGGGCAAGTCCCCCATATCAGGGGCATGCTTAGAAGCAGTGCCCAAGCAGAGGCTGGTAAACGTACACACCTACTGGAATAAGCCTGAGTGGTAAGATGATAAAAGCTTTTTCATTCATCTTTGATGATGGAGGAGCAAAAGCCAACACAGGAACCAGCGGCCAATGACAGGAAGAGGACTCTTGGTCATAGAAAATCAGACATTTATTCGTGTCAAGATGCTGAAAGTTGGACTTAAGCAGATTCCAAGCAGGCACTCTGTCAGGAGCTCACCTGCTGTGCTGTCACGGATGTGAAGATGAGCTGTTCATCATGTGTAACTGACAATAAGAAAAATACACACATCCACCAGCAGCAGCTGTTCTGATCACTAATCATCATTCTGAGATATGCCATGCCATTAATATTAAAACGGAAAACTTAAATAAATGCAAAGGCTATTCAGTGAAATCTTCAGAAAATGTTTTTGGGGATGGCAACGCATGAGAAGGCATTTTTCTTTAATTTGTTTTGTGTGTATGTGTGTGCATGCATGTGCATGTGGGCAGCTGTGTGTGGAGGCCACAGGTCAACCTCAAGGATCCTACTTTAGGAGCTGGTCACTTTGTCCTCTGAGACAAGATCTCTTATCGAGATTTGGGGCTTTCTTTTAAGCTAGGCTGGCTGGCCGGCAAGCCACCTGACTCTGCCTCTCTAGTGCTTGAATTACAAGTGTGTGCCACCACATCAAGCTTTTTATAAGGGTTCTGGGGATTACACTCAGGTCCTGACACACAGAAGGCACTACACTGACTGAGCCATCTCTACAATCCCCTGTTATTTTCCTTTAATGTTTAAAGGTGTACAGGTGGGGGCTGGAGAAATGGCTCAGCAGTTAAGAGCACTTGCTGATCTTGCAGAGGACCTGGTTCAGTTCCCAGCACCCATATCGTGGCTCACAATATATCTAGGGGATCTAATGCTATTTTCTGGCTTCCATGGGCACCAGACACACACATGGTGCAATTACATATATATGCAAGGAAGCACTTATATAAAATAAAAATAAATCACTCTTTTAAAGCCCTCCCTATTGAGAGGACTCAGAATGGTTACCCACATACCTCAGCATGAGCATGGCCATCCAGAAGGTGGGCTGCTTCCTTCTCTCCCGGCTGATCTTGCCACTCCCGGTCCTGCTCCTCTGGGGATGGATCATGTTCCTCTACCAGGTGTTCTGCCTGCCCCACCTGCTCCATTTCCTCCTCTTCTAGAGCTTTCCTGTGTTCGTCTTCTACCTGATGCTCTTCCGGCCTTCTGGCTTCCACTTGTTGGTTCTGTTCTGCAGGAGCCTGGAATTCTGCCTCCTTCTGAAGGGAAGGAAAAGGTTTCACTTCCTCTGTTCTTGCAGGAGCTGCCTCATGGTTCTGCCACACCTCATTATTTTGAGACACCTAGGATAACCGCATCACAAGAGAGGACACTTGTTTACTTCAAAATTAGTGATACTATTCCTGTTTCCATTTCAAAGGGGCTACATCATAAGCAAAAATCCTAGAGTCTAGAAATACAACAAGTTATGACTTAAAAACAATAGGTGTGACATAGTCACTTAATTTCTTCTCACTGTCTCACAATGTCGTCTGGCCTGTAAGACAGAAACAATCTAGGCAAAATGGTATCGCCGAGAATAGTCAGTATCCAAGAAAGTAAAACCTACCACTGACCATGTCTCAGAGGAAACACTTTTCTCAAAAGCAGTCTAACTCCAGCTTTCCTCAGCATTCAAAGCAAATAAACAGCCAACAAACAATAACAAAATTCTCAAACTTCGGGTGCTGGCATGCTTATATAATGTTCTTCAAGGTCCACTGTGTTCTCCATGGATATTTGAAAAGACAAGGATAGGATTTAAGATTCAGTTAAGGAAAGACTGGGTTGAATCTTCACTAGCTTCACTTAGCAATAATTTTAAAAAGAATCCCATACCTCAAAGTGACTGAATTATAAAGGGGTACTGGGGCTGAGCAGCCTGCATTTTTAACAGTTCCTACTGGGGATGCTGATGCACGTGAAGTAAGCATCTTAGGATGAGCAGCCTATACAGGGAACAGCCCCCCTCAGGACACCTCCACAGGAAGGCTCACATCTCTTACCTCTTGGAGAGCTCCTGTTGGTTTCTTTCTTACTATGCTGTGACCTTGTGGAGAATGTGTCCCCTGGGTAAAGGTGACATTTTGCAGCTCTGCTGGGTCATGATTTCGAAAGCTTGGAATCCTGTTCAGAGTATCTTTTAGCTGTTTGTATTCCGCAACTTGAGTCTGCATACACATCGTACAATTGGGAGTAAGTTGCATAATGTAAGGAGGAGGAAAAGAACATTCTTAGACAGACTTTAATGGTCACTGGATGCCTATGAAAATATAGCTAAGTGTGTTAGCAAAATCGCAGATTGTTTCATGCATTAGCTCTTCTTCTTGGACATGCTTGACCATTTGTGAGCACATGCAAATTAGAATTAGAATCAAAGGAGACAGAAAAAATAAATGTAAGACATGTTAGTCTCCCATGCTGCATGAGAAAAGAACTTTTATAAATCATCCTATTATAAATATCATTATTAAAACATAGCTATGCAATCGATATTTTAGCACGCTGACAATCTATTTAAATATTTACGTAGTTATATAAATACAAACGCAGACACCCGTTATCAATATGTATGTCCTGTTTTACATTTTTCAGCGGAATACATGTGTATATCAGTCCACTCTCTTCTTCTCAGATAATGTATGCACAAATAGGACCCTTTACTTTCAGGAATGTTTTCCATGTTATACTCTGAGGTTTCAAGAAGAAGAAGGCAAACAACGTTGTGTTGTTATTCAATTCTAAATGTACTTTTCGTTTAAAGTGACAAATGTGATAGGGCGGGTATAGGAGCGGAACACAGGCATACAGATGCATCTGTGTATGTATGACGTGGGAGGTGTGTGGGGTATGTGATATTTTATTACAAGGAAATAGGCAGGTAGAAAATAAGTCAATAACATTAACATAATCTTCAGACACTTCATATACATAGCTCAAGTACACCACCTCTCTTATCCTGAACCAGAATTGCTATGTGATAAATGCTTACATGGAAAATAGAAATGTTCAAAACAAGTTTTCCAGATAGGAATACCTTCGTCTGTGTGCCTGGCAGAGCTGGCCAATGGGGTGGGAAGCAGCCATGCCTCCTCCTGCCAAGGCCTGCCAGCCCCATGGTTCCTCCAGGCCAAGGGAGCAGTACTGGTTTGTCTCTTCTTTTTGACATTTGTGTTTGTGTGGTGCTGTGTATATGGCATGTGCACAGGTGCATTCAACTGCACATGCATGTGTGTCCACATACATGTGGAGGCCCATGGTCAACATCGGGTATCTTTCCTCTATCACTCTCCACCTTTATTTTTTGAGACAAGGTTTCTCACTGGACCAGAAGCTCATTGATGCAGCTGAACTGGCTGGCAATGAGCCCCAGGGATCCACCTCACTCCACCTGAGCCAACCCTGGGGTTACCAACACATGCTGCCATGTCTAGCTTTTTCCATGGGTTCTGGAGATCGGATCCTTGGGCTCGTATGGCAGGCAGTATAGGCTGTGTCCCAGCCCTGTTGCACCTCTTCTAATTTACAAAGAGTGAAGATGCTGGCTGGTTAAAAATGTGTCATAGGCGTGTTCTCATATAATTTGTACAAAAATGCAGCAGTAGTAAGAAGTGGACTCTACCTCAGAAATGTACCAGAACACTTGCACACCAACTCTGGAGGTGAAACAAAGCAAATGACATCCACATAGTAATACTTTTCCATTTTAAGGTGCAAGGGGAGAAATACAAAAGATTCAATTCCATGTATTTTTTTTTTCTGTTCCTCTTATGTGTAATCTTTGAAACCAGTCAAACTGTAGAACTGATATTATGGTATGTTAAGGATCATGTTAAAAATGTAGGGTCCTCAAGCCTCCATACAAGAAATTGTATATTTGGTAAAGTTTTATTTTAGTTTTTAATTATTTGTTTGTGTGTGGGTTTGTGCATTTGAGTGCAGGTGCCCTAGGTGACCAAAAGAGGGTGTTGGTCTCCTGAAGCTGGAGTTACAGGCAACTGTGAACCACCAGACATGGATTCCAGAACCAAACCCCAGTCCTCTGCAAAAGTAGTATGCACTTTTAACTGTAGAACCATCTTTCCAGCCCCCAAGAAATGATAATTCACAAGGTCTATGGAAAGCCTATAAACCTCCTATGAGAATGAAGAAGTCTCACAAACAGTGTGATGCTGACAACTGAGTTGATGCAGGCAACCTGAGTAGCCTATAAACCTCCTATGAGAATGAAGAAGTCTCACAAACAGTGTGATGCTCACACAGGCAACCTGAGCTGAAAGTTCGTTTGGGGTCATGTTTCTTGGCTAACTATTTAACTTCTCTTTGGCTTCAGTTTACTTAGTTAAAAAAGGGTGTAATGCTACATACTCATTAGATTATAAACACTTTTAAAATTTTTATTATTAGCGCTACTAGTATTAGTATTATGTGTGTGGAAGGGTGTGCATATGTGCCCCTGCATTTCACTGCATGTGTGTGGAGGTCAGAGGACAACTTTTGGGAGTTGGTTCTCTCCTTCCACTTTTACAAGGGTTCCAGGTAACTAACTCAGGTTGTCAGGCTTATATAGCAAGTATTTTATCCAGTGATCCATCTCACAGGTACTAGGTTATGAAGGTTAAATAAAATTATCAACTATATTTAAAAATTATCTTGCCAGGGCAGAATCTCATAAGAGGATTTTATATTAAAAAATAAAAATAAAAGCCCAAGATAGCATTTTTCCTTTCCTACAAGATTTGAATAAATTTGTGATGTGGTGTTATTTATTGAATATTTGCAACCTCCAAAATTTGTATATTTAAATCTTAAAGCAGAGAAGACTGGTACATTAGAAGGTAATAGGTCTTGCTTGAGGCTAGAGAGATGGCTCAGTGGGTAAGAGCACTGGCTGCTCCTGCAGAGGACCCAGGTTTGGTTCCCAACACTGACACAGTGGCTAACAACCATCCATAACTCCAGTTTCAGGGGATCTAATGCCCTCTTCTGACCTCCGTGGACATTGCATAACATGGGTTTGCTCACATGCATGCAGGCAATATGCTTGAATGCATAAAATAAAATAAAAATAATAATCATTTTTTAAAAAGAAGGTAATCAGATCCTGAGGATATAGCCCTCAAGAATGGGGTTAGTGCCCTAATAAAAGGGATCCGAGCAACATGTAGTCTCTACCACATGAGGGTACAAGGAGGAACCAGGAGCCTGCAGCCCAGAGGAGTGCACACAGGCTTACTAATCTAGTACTTCTAGGCTCCAGAACCACGACAATGTTCTTTTGTATATAAGCTCCCAGTCCCTGGGATTTTGTTATATCAGCCCAAATTAATCAAGGCATATGACTTTAATTAAGGAATGCACTAGCTATAGCAAAACAAAACAAGAATAGAGAACTTGGGTCACCCTCCTAATCAAAATATTTAAAGTCATAAAAGTAAACATACTAAATGGTTTAAATGGTTAAATAGAAAGTGACATATAGGTTATCTGTATAAAACTATTTTTTTTCTATTATAAGATTCCTTCCAGGGTAGAAGAGATGATTCAAAGGTTAAGAGCACTTACTGCTCTTCCAGAGGACATGGGTTCAGTTTTCAGCACGTGCAAAGGGGGCTAACACCCATCCTGAACTAAGGTTCAAGGGGATCTTTCTCCCTCTTCTGACCTCCAAGGGCACACACATGCAGCCAAAACACTCATTTACATAAATTAAAAGAATCATTTTAAAAAATGCTTTCAGGGCTGGGGGTATAGCTCAGTTGATAAAGCAGTTGGCATGTGAGCATGAAGACCCAAGTTCCATCCCTAGAGCCCATGTAAAAAGCTGGATGTGGTGGCATTTATCAGCCCAACATGGGCAGGTGGAGCTAGGTGAATCCTTGGAGTAGATTGGCCAGGCAGTCTAGGTGAATCACAGAGTTCCGGGCTAGTGAGAGACCCCACCTCAAAAAAACAAGGTGGACAAGTTCTGAGAAATAGTACATACATACACACACACACACACACACACACACACACACACACTCGGGGGGGAGACACACACATGCACACACACAACAGAAGCAAACAAACAAAATCCTCAAAACTGATTCAGTAATACTGCTACTGTGTTAGGACACCCAGACACCACACACACACACACACACACACACACACACACACACACACACACACACACACACACTCGGGGGGGAGACGCACACATGCACACACACAACAGAAGCAAGCAAACAAACAAAATCCTCAAAACTGGTTCAGTAATACTGCTACTGTGTTAGGACAAAAGGTGGTTTTGGTCATTTTACTTCTATTTCTGCGCATTTTCAGATTGTCATTCGCATAATATTTATGTCTGTTACAGAACAGTGTTCAAATCAGTTCAGCACACTTTACTGTATGAACAACTTCACATAAAATAACACTTGACAAATTTTATGAAGACTTAGAATGAAATATTCTCTAGAGTCAACTTAATTTATACACATGTAAAAATTATCATACAACAACAGTTCACTAGAGACACACGTAGTTTAGAAAGGTCTCCAAGGAGAGGCTCACAAGGTCCTACCCCTAGCTGAGCAGCCATTAGCAGTTGATGGAAACTTCAGGAGGGACAGTCATTGTTCTTTGGTGTGTGGCCACTGGTAGGATGCCAATGCCCCAGTGTATGGCCTCACCATGTGCAGAAGGGCAGAATTAATTGGGTTCAATGAGACATAAAATGGAAGAAGAGGACACAAAGTTGGGAGGGGATAATTGTGGGGAGCAGGAGATGGGGGTGATTTAGAGGAGAAAGGTGAGGGAGGTGAATATGATCAGAATGTATTATACACCTGTATGAAATTCTCAAAAGAATAAATTAAAATTACTAAGAAGAATCAATATGAGGGCATATTTAGACATTTATAAAACAAAATAAAGTTTATTTTTAATATACAAAACTAGTCCCCCAAACACAGAAACAACAATGTGGGATGGGCCCAGAAAATGACACCTTTTAATAATTCTATGAATTTAAAAAATTAAATGTGAGAAAAATTAAATGTGGTCTTCTAAAGAGCACAGATAGTCAGTTCCCCTTTGTTTTTTCCTGGTAACAAGTTCAGCAAGAAACAATGATGATCTAGTTTAGCCACATGACTAAGCTACTCACTCTTATTTCTTTGACTACTAGAAAACCACAAAGCACTCAGTTGACATCACTTCACTGAGCTCCAACATTTATATTTGCTTATTCATTCAATAAACATACTCAGAGCCTGTCTTATGCTGGGCTGCTCTAGGCTCTGAAGAAATGAAGCTCAAGACTCCTGTTTTCCTTTCTCCACTGAACCTTCTGATTTTCTCTAACATGGCCAACTTTACATAAGCCTTGTCCCAAAAGGAGTGTATAATTATAGACTAGAATACTGAGGATAAGAGAAGGAGAGAAGGAAAGTCTAAGAATGATTTATTTAGGTAGCTGACATCACAAAAGCCTATACCTTCTTCAGACAAAGTCAACACAGCTCAGATAGTTGCAAAAGACCACACAGATAGGATGATCTCTGTGGTTTAAGTGAAAAAGCAGATGATTGCATGTAGGACCTGGTACAGGCAGAAACAGTTATATGCCAAAAGCAACCAAAATTTTACTTAGCAGTGTCTTGGGTGACTTTGAAAAGCATGCATTATCCTCAGGATTAGGGGGGCTGTCGAAAGTCACTCTCTGAAGATTGGGCTGGGAGAGCCTCCATGCATAAAGGAATTTGGAAATCTGAAGCAGATTTTCAAAGGACCCAACAGAGGCTACCACCCTGCTAACCTGTGCGGCAGCCAGTGCACTCTTGTGGTCTTCCAAAGTCACTACAAGCTGTTCATGCTCGGAGAGTAAGTTCTTATGCTGTTGCTACACAAAAAAGAATTTCACATGTTGAGCTAAGTTAATGCCACAAAATAAGTTCTTCGGTATGGCCACTCAGATGGTATTTGTTTAACTTGTTTTTGTTGTAGCAGCATTTGTGGAGTTTAAAAATTACAGGGAAGATGCTGTGATTAACGTAGTAATATAAAATCTATTCAAGGTGCTACATAGACAGACTTGTTACCATAAAATGAAAAGGATCTTTTATTAGTGGTCAACCTTTGTACATAAAAATCTTCTTGAAGTACAATCCAACAGAAGAATAATTTCAAAATGAATGCAAACATTTAGATGTTGTAGATCACTTTTAGCATATGCAGCTGAAATGCTAAAAGTATCAGGTACACTTTAGGTAGGCAAAACCCATGATGGTGATCTGGGCTTTGCCAAGCAGGTCTATTGGGGATGGTTTTTTTTTTAAAAAAGGATTTTATTTTATCTTTAAATGTGTGTGTGTGTGTACACAAGTGCAATGTTTATGAAGGTTAAGACAAAGGTATAAGATCCCCTGGGACTGGAATTGAAGTCATCGTGAGCATCTGACTTGGGTGCTAGAAACTGAACTCATTTCCTCTGCTAGAGCATCAAGTGCTCTTAACCACTGAGCATCTCTCCAGGCTAAAGTTATGACTTTCGAAGCCATTCTGCAAAATAAACGACAGACACTCAGGAGTCAAATGTCTGGCTTCCCCTTACCTTGACATCCTGAAGCTGTGTGTGAATGTCCTGGTGTGCTTTCCTTAGCTGTCTATTCTCTTCTCTCAAATTATATACAGTCTCTGCGTTAGAAAAAGAAAAAATTCACATAAATTACACATAAATCCTGGAACCGGTCTGGTGTTTGATACCACTATTTGCACAACTTACTTTAGGACGTGTTTTGAACTTTATCAATACAATGTTTCCAATTTTTAAAAAGTGATATCGTATTGGCATTCAGCATGGTTCACCTGGCCATTGCAATATCACCTGGCTCAGTGTTTTACCCTGGAAAAAAGCTTTGCATTGTAGATTAAGTCAAAGACTTTTAAGCACACAGGAGTTAAAAATGAAATGTTTCTGTTAATAAACAAGCCCCTGGGAATAAAATATAATGGGCAGATGGTCTCTGATTTGAGTCTTTTCACAAATGAAAAACGAAGTTATCACCAAGCACAGATACCTTATGTTACATAGCATGAGTAATTTGCAAAGCCCCCAAAAGGTATGTCAGTTACAAAGGTAACTCACAAAATGAAAGACAGAAACCCCCCTTTATCTGTTGAGAACTCCTAGCATCTTTGTTACTTCTATCATTGAGTTCTTGATTCATCTAAATTCCTCTCTAAATCGTTCTTCTCAGAGCTAGAGCATCAGAGTGTGGCAGTCAAGGTGAGTCTGAAGACCTCCCCTTCCAGCCCCCATTCAGGTAACAGCTTCCAAAGTCTAGATCCATCATTCTTCATCTGGGAAACGGTGGCATTCCATGTATGCGGACCTTACATGTTAAGTACCAAATTCAAACTCACAAACTTTTTATTTTGGCTTGTATGCAATTGGCCTCTATAGCCATTTACATAATTTAATACTTGACCATTTTTAAAAACCAGGTCTAATAATATATGGCGACATTAGCTAATTCTTGTGTGATAACATATAACCCAAGGGAAACCGAGAACTGGCAGGGTAATTATATAATTCATTTTGGAATGGGAGATACTTTTGAGAATGAAATTGAATGTAATTAATATGTGAGCAAGACAGCAGGCATAAGTAAACCCAGATTTCATCAGGGAAATGGTCCCTGAAGACAAGACCCTAACTCTCCATGGTACGTTTAGCATCAAAAGAGTAGCCTCTGCTATCCTGTAGCCCCCCTGCTTGACTGATGCTGAAACCCTGAGATTAGACCAGGAGGCCCTCAGCATTTGTCCGTTCAAGGGCATTTTCATTGCCCTCTTGAGAGTTTTTATTGGAAGCTCAGTGTTTGACGTCCGCACAGAGTTTACATGTAAATGTTCAAGCAGTGCAAAATACTGGTAATTCTCTCATCATAACAGTGAGACAGCAAGCACAGTGCACCCAAGGCCACGAAGACTGGCCCAGCAAAAGACCTCCTGTGATGTACATAGAAACATAAAAGGGGGGGGCTACATCTGCCCTGACATTCCAAGGACAGTTTGTCTGGTCTTCTTCCCAGCATTCTGAAGGCAAACGACCCCTCCTCAAGCCTCAACATCAACAAAGTCCAGAGACATCTGTTAACTCTTAGTGAGCCAAGGACAGGAGCCTGTTTATTATTCGTGAGCACAGCGCTATTGTCCATAAAGGACAAGGGGGGGTGGTCACTACACAAAAGAGAATAGTCACTTTCTGGAACCCCACTTCTGAGGCCTTTTCCTTCTTAACTGGATCTTCATGGTCCTTGAACACAAGATTTATGATTGGATTTTGGGGGTGGGGATCAAGAACAAAATGGGATCAGGTCCTCTACCTCCATGTCATAGTGAACTTTCTCAGAGATTAAAACAGGACACCACTGGCCATCCACAAGGGCCTTTAGTGTGCCACACACTGCATGGAGCTGGTAACACGAATACTTGAAACACACAAACGGGGCTAGCTAGCTTTGAAAGAATTTCAGCTTGCAGACTTAATGAGAGCAGTTCCTTTGCTTTCCCTGACCTTCTGCAAGCAAGTCTCACTCAGCAGCCTCTGGATCATCTGTTGAGTGAGGCTAAACACCTGCTGTGCTAGATAGCATTAGTGTCAACTTGACACACCTGGGTTGAGGGACCCTCAATTGGGGAATTTCCTCCATTGAACTGGCCTGTGGCCATGTCTGTGAGGCATTTGTTGCATGATGTGGGAGGGTCCAGCCCACTTTGGGTGGTGCCATCCCTGGGCAGGTGGGCCTGTGTTGTATAAGAAAGCAGGCTGAGCAAGGGCCAGGGGAGCAAGTCAGTAAGCAGTGTTCCTCCATGGCCTGTGCTCCAGCTCCTGCCTCCAGGTTCTTGCCTGGAGTTCCTACCTTGGGCTTCCTGATGAACTGTAACCAGGGAAATGTAAGATAATATAAACCCTTTCCTCCCCAAGTTTTGTTGGTCAGAGTGTTTTGTCATAGCAATGGAGAAACAAACTAAGACACCTGCCTACTAAAGGCTGTGGCAAGAATCAGGAGGACCTTCTGCATGAAGTTTCACCTGGTTCTGATGTGTTATCAGCTATTATAAAGACAATAAGGGAGAGTAATTAAGTTCCTTGTCAGCTTGCCTACCAGGGGAGTCTAGAGACTTTCTTTATACCATATTAAACTGCCAAAGACTGCCTGGACTTACACACCTTAGCTACTACTGGCCTTCATCAAACACAAAATGATTTAACTATATTGCCTCAAGGTTTTGGTTGTTTTTTTTTTTTATTTCTGTTGTGATAAAACCTTTTGATAAAGGCAACTTAGGGAATAAAGGGATTATTTTAGTTCACAGTTCCAGGTTATAGTCCATTGTTGCTGAACAGTCCCAGGAGTGAGGGGTCTGCAGGAGTGTGAAACAGCTGGTCACACTGCATCTATAGCGAAGAAGTAGGAAGGATGGAAGGCCTATGCTCTGCTCCCATATCCTTTTCATTCAGTCTAGGACCCAGAGCATGAAATGCTGTAGTCCACATTTAGGTTGGGTCTTCCCACTTCAGTTAATTCAAACAAGAAAATCCCTCACAGACATGCCCACAAGCCAACCTAATCATGAAAATCCTTTGAAACCTCTCTTCTCAGGTTGTTATAGGCTATGGTCATGTTATTGTGTAACCATCACAAATCATGGCCAAACATAAGTGCTAATATAAGAAGCACTCAGCAAAGTGTCTAAGGCTCTGCCTATGCTCAGTTCCAGGTCTCTGAAAAATTTATTCCAAAAATTGATTCCACAAGTATTTTTTTCCTCCTCTCGCTCCTAAGTCTTTGGATATGTGTGTGCGTGTGTGTGAGTACGTCTGTGCATGTGTGTGTGTGTGTGTGCATGCGCATGTGCGTGAGTGTGTATGTGTTCTGCTCCCATATCCTTTTCATTCAGTCTAGGACCCAGAGCATGAAATGCTGTAGTCCACATTTAGGTTGGGTCTTCCCACTTCAGTTAATTCAAACAAGAAAATCCCTCACAGACATGCCCACAAGCCAACCTAATCATGAAAATCCTTTGAAACCTCTCTTCTCAGGTTGTTATAGGCTATGGTCATGTTATTGTGTAACCATCACAAATCATGGCCAAACATAAGTGCTAATATAAGAAGCACTCAGCAAAGTGTCTAAGGCTCTGCCTATGCTCAGTTCCAGGTCTCTGAAAAATTTATTCCAAAAATTGATTCCACAAGTATTTTTTTCCTCCTCTCGCTCCTAAGTCTTTGGATATGTGTGTGCGTGTGTGTGAGTACGTCTGTGCATGTGTGTGTGTGTGCATGCGCATGTGAGTGAGTGTGTATGTAGGCTTCATCCTTGCTAGACAAGTCCTCTCCCTTTGTGCTATATG